GCTGAATGGATTCTCCACTAGAGGGTGTGAACACATCATTTATATATCAAAAACAGTCCTGGTAAGAAATAAATTGAGTAATTAGTAAAAATAAATAAGTACTGTCTGGAATGTATCTGTTCTCTGATTTTCTATTCATCTTATGTGGAGGAAAATTTTTAAAGGTTATGCTTATTTTGTAAAGAGAATGAAAAATTTCTAAATGGAAGGAAACAAAGAAAAAAGTACAATTTTTAGTATTAAGGGGTAAGGTAAATAAATGAGTAGCATGACTACTCTCACATGTCTAAATTAAATCCAAACTTGCAATGCAGGCAGAGACATTATTTTAAAACATGAATGATTCTTGTTTATAGGCATTATTCTACACTCAATTCATTTGAAAAATGTTTATTGAACATCTCATATGCTACAGGAATAAGAAACTATCCCTGTCTTTGAGAAGTTCACAGTCTAATGAAGAGGAAAGTCATGTGAAAATATATGGCATAATACAACAGTAAGTACTACAATAAAGACATGACAAAAGTGCTCTAAGAGCCTAAAAAGAAAAAGAAAAAGAAAAACGAGACTAGCTATAGCAACAGGGACTTTTCACAGAGGACATTTGTATGTCCCAGACTGTTTTAATCCTAACTAAGCCTCAAAAAATGTCTGCTGACAGATTTGTCTCTAGGATGTGTGTTCTGTTCTGTGCTATTGCTCTCTAGTCTGACTGCTAGCCAGGATTATATTCGGATATTTACATATAATAATCTTAGTATAGGTCAAGCATTCCTAATCCAAAAATTTGAAGTCTGAAATGCTATAAAATCTGAAACTTTCTGAGTGCTACATGATATCACAAGTGGGGAGTTCCACACCCAACCTATGTCACAGGTCACAGTCAAAATGCAGACACACTAAAAATACTGTAGAAAAACACTTTCAGGTTATGAGTATAAGGTTTATATGAAACATACATTAGTTTTATGTTTAGACTTAGGCTCTATCCCCAAGATATCTCATTATGTATCTGCAAATATTCCAAAATCTGGAAAAAATCTGAAATACAAAGAGGCATTTTCCACTCCTGGCACTTAGCACAGTGCCTGTGAAGATGTAACTGGCACATTATCATTGAATGAAGAAGAGTATGGATCAGGCATAGTTTCTCAGTATTTATATAGAAATATTTCAAAATCTGAAAAAAAAATCTGACATACGAAAACATTTCTGGTCCCAACTACTTCAGATAAAGGATGCTCAACCTATACATTTCAGTTTTTCTAGTCATTTCTTAACCAATTCTGGAGTCAATGACATCCAAATGATTAGCCGAATGAGAGAATGGAGTGTTGGAGTGAGAGACTGAAACAAATTTGGAGATGTGAAAGAGTAGCCCTGTAGGAAGCATGCTGTATGGGGTTATTGGAACTCCACTCTGCCTGACATCGTCATGCTTGACTGACTAGTGAGTTGCCAATGAACCTGTAACAGAGGAAGCTGTATTTTACTTGTGATTCTTAGATAAATCTAGATCATCAGACACTGCTGGTTTATGGTAGAATAAACTCTCCTAAGCTTATGTCCTATGGATGGGCAGGTGTGGCTTTGCATAGCTATGAAGCAGATGCATTTGGTTGAGCTAGATGAGTGTCTGGAGAGAAGAATAGCTTATAAAAAGATGGTAATTCATGTTGCAGGGCCCTGCTACTCTTGTGCATCTCCCCCTGAGCAGTTTTGAGAGCAGGAGATTGCCAGGTGGAAACATCAGAAAACTGTATTCTCAGATGTCCTCCTTGACAATTTTATGAAAATGCTGTTACAGGCAGTGAGAGTCTAGATGAGAACTGGTATTTTTTAAAGAAAAGAAATAAAAGGGATAAAAACTAAAGACATGATTTGATTTAGATGCTAACATTTCACTTGTTATCTTCAGTAGAACTGCCAAAGAGTGGGGACGCTGGAGGGTGAGGGGAGAGTGAAGGAAGCAACGCCTTGATATGAATTTTAAAACAAAGGACAAAACAGACAGCAAATTTAGACAAATACTTCTACCTTTTATGAATATTTTGTGAAGCTAAATATTTAGTTTTCCTTTGTAAGAAAAGCATGGAAAATCATACATAAGCTTTTTAGCATTTTTATGAGGATACAATTTTTGTTAGTGAAGGCTAGAGAGAAACTGAAAGAATTCCAGATTGTTCTGTCAGGATTCAGGATAATACAATGATAGATGAAATTTAAACTCAACACAAGCAAGGTAATGCTGCAGAAGCCAAGATTTTCAATAACCATGTTTATGCATTGTGACAGCTTATAAATTAAAAATGTAGCAACTCTTAAGAAATACATTCAGCCATCACTAGGGATAATACAATAGAGGTGACTGTTCTATAAAAAGGGGAGTTTGGACTGGATGCTATGTTGACAATGGAAAAGAAAGTAATTTTGAAAATAGTATTTAATGATTATTTGGTGCATTTATATATTACACAATTTAAAATTTGTTATGACTGAACATTGTTTTCCTTCCCAAATTTGTATGTTGAAATCTTAATGCCCAGTGTGATGTTGTTAGGTGGAGTCATTGGGATAGGATTAGCTCATGGGGGCAAAGACCTCCCAAATGGGGTCCTCATAAAAGAGGTCCTCAGGAGCACTGTCAACCCCTCTATCATGGGAGGGCACAGCAAGATGGCTGTCTATGAATCAGGAGATGTGGCTTTACCAGACCATGAATCTTCCTGTGCTTTGATCTTGAACTTCTCAGCTTCCAGCACCATGAAAAATAAATGTGTTAAAGCCACCTGGTGTTTTTGTTATAGTAGCCCTAATGGACTAATGCAAAACAAAAGCAAGAACCAAAGCTGCTACAGAATGTAAGTGGGCTAGGCAAATGCTGAGTGTGTGAAGAAAATTATTACCAATTATAAATTCAAATAAAAATAAAACTATAAATTTCCAAATTTTTGTGCAATTCTTTACTGTGAAATGTTATTTAAAAGAGCTAAGGCAGAATGTGTATACTGAATTAATTAGGATGCTCAAGGAAAAGTGATAAAGTGATATTGGAAAAGTCAAAGTGAGTTAAAGTGCTATTAAAATATGAAAAGTCAAAATGATCTTGGGGGAATGTACTGTTTTAAGGAATTTTTAGGAGGCCTTAAGACAATTCTAAACCAAAAAACTAAAAATTGAGACATTTTAATGTACTCATATGATCTTGGACAAATTTAAATTTCTCCTAGGCTCTACTTTTTCCTCTATATAGAGGGTGAACAAATATATTTTTAGATGCTACAAACTATTTTTCTTTTGTTTGTGATTAGATACAACCATATGTAAGGTTGAAGAAACTTATCTCCTTAAATATTAAATAATATGGCTTTGTGGCCTCAGCATTATCTTCTATTCTTTCTCTGACTCAGTGGATTGTTTGTCTTGTCACAGGCAGAGGAGAGTCTCTCAACGTTGATGACAGTGAAGGAGCTGTGAACATTAGACCATTATTTAGGGGATTTTTTTTCAATGTATAGAAGGAAGAATACAGGCATAGTAAAATTAGATAAGCCTGGTTTTTGAATCATAATTACTACTCACCAGTTGATTGCAACTGTTTCCTTATCTGCAAAAATAGGGCTACTATGCATATTGAAGAATGAGACTATTATTCAGCACTCAGATCAATGCTTTTTTGAGGTTTTTGTTCCTTTTCTTCTTATTTATAATCCGTTAGGGCCTAACTAGAAAAGAAAATAGATTTGATTATTTTTTGGAGTCTTAAACTAAAGAAGTCACTGTTGGCTTCCAATAAAACCTTTAAACAAAATGGAATGAAGCAAGTCTCACAAATAATAAAAATCAGCCACTCCAACAGGGTTTGAATACCAAGGGGATTTTAGGCAATAGGTTTTAAATCAACGTACAACCCCAGAATACTTCTGCAGAACATTGTAACTGGTCATTTCTTTGCTTATGTACAAGACTTTCGGAATGTCTTGGAAAAATTAACCTTCATTTCAATATATTGGATTTTGAAGTCTGGATGTGAAGGTAGTCAGGGTGTATTTTCAGAGCTGATGGGCCTGTTTCTGGTGGCCTGGAGGGTTAGTCAGACAGGGTTTAAGTCCGCTGGAAGACGTTTGCTTGGAGTCCCCAGCTTGTCCTTGGTGTCAGGGCCATAAGGCATCCCTCCCTTCCCTTTTTTTCTTTCTGCCTGATCGTCCGAGCTCTTACTCCCACCCGACTTGGCTGCTTCTCCTTTTCCATCTTTGCTTTCTTCCCATAAGTGGTCAAAATGGGAAACGGAAGTATCTGTTTGTTGCTTGGTGTAGTGCTCTGAAAGGGTTTTTAATTAAAGGGGTGGGAAAATTCCCCAGACAAGGCTCTTCACTTTGGCACGAGTCCGAACCCGCACGGACCCCTAGTCCTCTTAAAAGACAAAAACCCCCTCCAGAGTGTCCTTTGCCACAGTGAGGAGGTTGGGGTGGGTTGGAGGGGTCTGAGTCTCCTGCTGCAAGGCGGGATCCCCGCGAAGGGGCTCAGGATCCCGGGAGGCGAGCGCAGCGCCACCCCCCAGCAAAGTGGGGAGGCGCGGCAGGAGCCGGGGAAGCCCGTGGTCCCGGAGCGCGCGGGGCGCGGGCAGCAGCCGGAGGCGGCGGCGGTGGCAGCGGCGGGGACGCGGCGCGGCTGCCGCAGGGGAGCGGCGGCGGCGGCGGCGGGCGCGAGGGGCGGGGCGCTCTCCGCAACTTGTGCCGCTGCCGCCCGGCGCTTTCTGCCGAGCCGAGCGCCGCTGCGGGGCTGCGGGGCTGCGGTGCGTCTAGCGGAGCCCGGCCCGTGAGCCCGCGCGTCCCGAGCATCTGTCGGATGCAGCGGGGCCTCCCGCAGGGAGTTCCCGCGCCGCCGCGCCCCCGCGTCACCCGCAGAGGCTTGGGGGGCCTGGGACGTGCGGGGCCGCGGGGCCGAGCCGGGCGCCCCCCAGCGGCCAGCGCGGGCGCCATGGCTGGGCCAGGCGGAGCGGAACCGGCGAGGTGAAGCCCCGGGGCCCGCAGCCGGAGCGCGTGGCGGGGGCGCCGGCTCCATGGGCAGCGGCACACAGCGACATGATGATGGACGTTAACAGCAGCGGCCGCCCGGACCTCTACGGCCACCTCCGCTCTTTCATCCTGCCAGAGGTGGGACGCGGGCTACCGGACCTGAGCCCCGACGGTGGCGCTGACCCGGTCGCCAGCTCCTGGACGACACACCTGCTGAGCGGGGCCCCCGAGGTGACGGCCAGCCCCGCGCCCACCTGGGACGCATCCCCGGACAATGTCTCGGGCTGCGGGGAGCAGATCAACTACGGCAGGGTAGAGAAAGTTGTGATCGGCTCCATCCTGACGCTCATCACGCTGCTGACGATCGCGGGCAACTGCCTGGTGGTGATCTCTGTGTGCTTCGTCAAGAAGCTCCGCCAGCCCTCCAACTACCTGATCGTGTCCCTGGCGCTGGCCGACCTCTCGGTGGCCGTGGCAGTCATGCCCTTCGTCAGCGTCACGGACCTTATCGGGGGCAAGTGGATCTTTGGCCACTTCTTCTGCAACGTCTTCATCGCCATGGACGTCATGTGCTGCACGGCCTCGATCATGACCCTGTGCGTGATCAGCATCGACAGGTAAGGGCCCGGCCGCCCCGTCCCGGGGTCCGGCTTGGGGAGGTGCTGGCAGCTCAGCCTGTGCGCAAGCCACACTTCACGGGCTGAGCTCAAAATACAACCCCACACGCATCAACCCTACACCAACCAGATAACTTCAATGACAGCATAGCCTATATACACTTCTGAAAGAAAACGCCGAGAAATGTTATGGTTTACTGTAGTGACGGCATTAGGACCAAAGTTAGAGTATTTTAAGCACTAGCGGTTCCACCAGGGGGTCCCTCAGCTTGGTTTTTAGAAGGAAGGGATTTGATGCTCTCTGGCTTGACAAACCTTTACTGTGAGCTGTAAAGAGGCATTTCTTGCTTTAAGAAATCAGTGAGAAAAAAAGCCACCTTGGCCCCGGATTGTAGGAGCTACCTCCTAGGCCAATGAAAGGTCCTCGGATGGTCCCAGAATTGGGGTCTCCGTGTCTTAAACATTGCACTTTTACGATTGCTAATTCTGAATCTCATTCTTGTGGAACTCTGTCGGTTTCATGCCAGCTTACTTACACCTTGTCTGAAAGGTTGGTTCTTGTCATTCTTCATATACCTTGGGAACCTGCTCCTGAGAACTCCAGTGGAGTAGTTGAATCAGAGGCTGTCAGGGGTGCCAGGGAAAATATTGCTGTTTTGGGTCTCATATTAGAGCAGGAGACCCTCGGGGTTTCTTTGGAGTCTAAGATGATGGGATTTTGAAATGGAGCTAGACTTTGGCCCTAAAAATATTAAGTAATTGAAAACCTGAGGTATGGTCTCAATGCTCTTTGACTGCAGAACAGCTCTGTCACTTCAGTATTTGCACTTGGAATTCTGCTGCTGTTTTAAACCCAGCACAGGACTAGTATCCTGTTGTGTTTAATGATATAGAGAAACAGTTGCTTATTTTCTTAGTGGACCTATAGAACCTTTTAGTAAGTAGACCTTTCAACATGAGAGAAATAATTGATGCCTCCACACCTAAAATGCCAGTGCCTCAGTGGATAGGCTAGCATGAAACTGAGATTTTCCTTTGTTTCCCTCTTTGAAAACACTGGTATTTGTGGTTTGTTGATATTTGAAATGTTCTGCTATTTTGCTGCTTGACCAAGGTTTATAATTATGACATAAAGGGAATGATAGGAAAGGGAATATTTTCAAGAAAAAGAAATACATTGCAGTTGCATTTAGTTAATGATTTTGATTTTTAAAGAATTGATCCTGCCATTTTAGATGTCATGACAGGAGCTTCTGACATCAAACAAAGAATTATTTTAAGAGTGGAGCACGAACTGCGTATGTGAGAATATTAGCACCAAACTTGGCAGCTGAAGTTCTGAATTACTGTAGTTAAGAATGACAAAAACATACGCATTTACAGTCTGGCTGTGGCAACAGGAATTAGGAGAGTGCACTCAATATACATAATAAGTATATACATGAATTAAAAGTACAGAAATCTAACTGTTCAGCCAACAAAAATGGTGCTACTTGCATGAATGGAATCCTTGTATGGAACTTAGTGTATTAAAACAAATAACAACTTATGCTGCAAGTAATGCATTTGTAATCTTTTTTTTCATTTCATAATTGATAAATGATAAATAAGTAGCACATTGTGCTAACTTCTGTCCTAAGACACCCAGTGCTTCTGTTCCTGTGGGCACATTCAGGTTTGACTGAGACCCTGTTCTTTCTGTGTTTGAGCTAAAGACGTTCTTCCCTCAGTATGCACCTGTGATCAGCACCAGCAGGAGTGTCCTGAATAGAGTGCAGAGGTTAATTCTTCTTGGCAAGAGCTTGTAATGTCTTCATTAACTACATCCTTATGATCATCATAAATTATGGTAATATAAACCTATATTTTCTCCTTTTTTTTCTCCATGAGAATTGCCCCATTGGTGAATTTTGCCTAAAAATAATTTTAGAAGATGAGCATAGTATTTCTTTAGGTAGAATGAAAAATTGATAAAATTGGAAGAAGCATTGATTTTCTTCTATGAACACACAAAACTTGAAAATGAGATAAAGGAAAATGCATTTACTATTTAATATGTATTATTTTTGAAAAGAGTATTGTCTTCAGTTCTAATGTAGAACATGCCAGATGATATAAATATGTTAGGAAAATATTAAACAATTTAATCTTCATTCATTCCCTTAATCATTCCCTCTTGAATACCTAATATTGGTTACACTGTACTTTGTGTAGCATAATCAGATGAATAACAGTATTCCAACTTTTGAGCTTATGGTGCTATATCGCAGGAATTTGGATGTTTGTTGGGTATTTAACCTGGCCAAAATAAAATCTCTGATTTATCTTTTTTTAATTTTATTTTATTGTGAATTAGCATACATTAATAATATGAGGGGATTTCATTGTGATAATTTCAAACATGCATGCAGTGTACTTTGAACAACTTTATTCCCTCCATTATATTCCTATTACCCCTCTTGTCTCCCCTTTTCAAACACGTTTGGTGGGTTTCATTATGTGGTCTTCATACATTATGTATCATGATATAGATATATATATATATAATATCACATGTACTGTACTTTGGTCCTCCTATCCTCCAATACCCTTTCCTCTCCTTCTCTCCCTCCCACTGACTCTCCCCAGACAGTCTCCCTTTTACATTTATGTCCCATTATTATTATCATCATCATTATTTTATGGTATATATAATATATTATATATAGTATTTTCTTTATCCATTTATGGTTGTTGGGCACCTCAGCTCTTCCCACAGTTTGGCTATTGTGAACAGAGCTGCAGTAAACATGAGTATGTAGGTATCTCTTATGTATATTGATTTACACTCCTTTAGATATATGCCCCAAAGTTGTATGGTGGAGTCATAAGGTAGGTTTAGTTTTAGTTTTTTGAAGAACTGATTTCCATAGTGTTTGCACCACCAACAATGTATGAGGGTTCCTTTGCCCCACCATCTTTGCCAGCATTTATTGTTTGTTCTCTTGATGATTGCCAGTCTGATTGGGTGAGATGAAATCTTAGTGTAGTTTTGATTTGCATTTCCTTTATAGCTGAGGATGCTGAATATTTCTTCATGTACTAATTAACCATTTGTGGACTGGAAGTGTGGTTCAAGTGGTAGAGCACCTGCTTTGCAAACATGAAGCCCTAAGTTCAAACCCCAGTGCCACCAAATAAAAAGAAAAAAAATTAATATGTTCCAGTCCAAAGCAGGGTATATGATGGTGGTATAAATGATCAACTCTGTATACCTTAGCTAGGTTGAAATTAATTCTGAACTAATTAACCATTTGTATTTCTTCTGAGAATTGTTCAATTTGTTTGCTCAATTATTAATTGGATTATTCTCTTTATTTTTTGAACTCTTTATGTATTTTGGATATTAATCCTTTATCCATTGAATAGCTGGCAAAGATTTTCTGCCACTCTGTGTGTTGTCTCTTGAGTTTGGTAATTGTTTCCTTTTTTTTTTTCTTTTGTGGTATTGGGGTTTGAACTCAGGGTCTACACCTGGAGCTACTCCACCAGCCCTATTTTGTGATTTTTTTTTGAGATAGGGTCTTGTGAACTGTATTTTCCCAGGCTGGCTTTGAACTACAATCCTCCTGATCTCTGCATGCTGTGTAGCTAGGATTACAGGTGTGAACCACCAGTGCTAGGCAATTGTTTCTTTTGATGTACAATTCCCACTTGTTCATTCTTGCTCTTATTTCCTGGGTAATTGGAGTCCTATTCAGAACATAGTTGCCCATGCCTGTATTTTCCAGGGTTTTCACTATCTTTTCCTGTAGTATTTTCAATGCTTCAGGTCTTAATTATGATCTTTGATCCACTTGGAGTTGATTTTTGTACAGGGTGAGAGATAGGGGTCTTTCAGTCTTCTGCATGTGGATAGCCAGTTTCCCAGAACCATTTGTTGAAGAGGCTGTTTCTTCTCCAGTGTATATTTTTGGCTCCTCTATCAAAGATTAGATCACCATAGCTGTGTGGTTTTATTTCTGGGTCATCTATTCTGTTGGTCTTTATGTCTGTTTTTGTGCCAGTGCCATGCTGCTTATGTTACTATGGCTCTGTAATATAATTTGAAGTCTGGTATTGTGATACCTCCAGTGTTGCTCTTTTTTTGCTTAGGACTAATTTTGCTATTTGGGATCTTTTATGCTTATTTATGAATTTTAGTGTGGATATTTTTGTTTCGGAGAATGACATTGGGTTTTGATGGGCATTGCATTGAATCTGTAGATTGTTTTTTGGTAGTGTAGCCATTTTCACGATATTAATTCTGCCAATTCATGAACATGTGAGGTGTTTCCATTTTCTGGTGTCTTTGTTTTTTCTTCTTTAAGATTTTTTATTTGTAAAGATCTTTCACCTCAGTGGTTAAGTTTATACGTACGCTATTGTGGATGGGATTGTTTCTTTCTCAGCCTTTTCATTGTTGGTATGCAGAAAAGCTACTGATTTTTGTATGTTAATTTTATATCCTGCTACATTGCCAAAAGTGTCTCTGATTTTTCTTAACCATGCCCTACCATACTAGTATACTTTCCTGGCCTTTTCAAATGTAAAGCCATGTTGTTCTTCAAAGGCTTCAAGATTCCTATTCCCTACCTTTTACAGGGAACAGCTCAAATCCTTTGAAAAAGTAGCAACCATTCAGTTTTTAGCTTACTAATGTTCATTCACTTTTATTGTTCTGTTGTATTCCATTGTATAATTATGCTATAATTTATCAATGTACCTGTAGATGGATATTTTGAGTTTTTGGCTATTATGAAACATTTATTGCAGTACAAGTAACTTTATAGACCTGTTTAAATTTCTTTTAGGTAAATCAAAAGCTGGGTAGTAAGGTATGGTGGAGCATTTTAATGCTTTTGGTGTTATTGTTGTCATGCGTTTTAACTCTAAAGACTTATGAGTTTAAAACCCATTTTTATTGTTGTTTAAAACAATGAATATTTATGTTTGCCAACATGTATACTTTTCCCACTGAT